TGAAAGTGCACATCTGTAATCCCAGATCTCTGGGAGGCTTAAGCAGGAAAATGTCAAGTTCAAGCCTATCATTGGCATCTTAGCAACTCAACAAGACCCTGTACCCCCAATCAAAAATAAATAAATAAATAAAAATTACAAAGGGACTGTTAATGTATCTCAGTGAGAAATTCCTGATTTCAGTACTTGGTATCATAAAAAAGGAAGAAAAAGAAAGAATGAGCAATAAATGTGTAAATGGATGTGGGAAAATAGAACCCTCATACATTGTTGGTGGGAATATAGATTAGCACAGCTACTATAGAAATCAGTGCAAACATTCCTCAAAAATATGAAAATAGTGATTCCGCTGTATTCACCTGTAACATTCATTTGTATATACCCAAAAGAATTAAAGTCAGTATACTATAGGGGCCAGAGAGATAGCTCAGTGGAATAAAGTGTTTGCTTGTCAAGGGCAAGGACCTGAGTTTGATCCCTGGTATCAACAACAACAAAAAAAGGCAGCATACTATAGAGATGCCTGGCACCCATGTGCATTGCAGTGTAATGCACCATAACTGAGCCAGGGAGCCAGGCTAGCAACCATGAATGTCTTAATTGATAAATATAGATTATTATTAGGGCAGGGAGATAGCTCAGTGGCTTGAGCACCTGCCTGGTAAGTGAAGGTCCCAAGTTTGATCCCTGATACAAATATGCCATCTACCAATTCTACTCTTGTTTGTTCTTCCTCTTCTAGGTCTTTGAAAAGCACTGTTTACTTAAAATAGCACTTCCCTTTTCAGTGCATTTAATCATCACTCTTAACTTTTCCTTTAGTATAGCTTTAGTTATACACCCCCCCCTTTTTTTTTTTTTTTTCAGAACCGGGAATTGAACTCCTACCCTTGCGCTTGCCAGGGAAGCGCTTATTCCACTGAGCCATCTCCCCAGCCCCTGATATCCCCAATTTTTTATAGGTTTTTGTGTTATGATTTTCATTATGTACACTATTGTCTTTCTTTCTCTTTAAATATTCTAAATATCATTGGTCATATAGGACCTTATTATTAAATTTCTACTCTTTACTGATTTCCATTCTGCCTATTGTTGATATATGGTTGTCTTTTATTGTGGAATGAAAACACAAATGACGTGATTTTAAGTTTTAAAAATTTATGGATATCTGATTTCTGTTTTATCCATGAGAAGTTGTGTTACATTGCTGTTGGACCAAATGCTTTCTAAATGATTACTAAAGTGATTTGTTCTGTAGTATGCAAAACTCAGAAATTTCTTTGTTCATTTTGTATCTCCTTGATGGCAAAAATGGAGTATTTAATTCTATTATTGTATAAGTCTATATCTCTCTTTAAATGCAATAGTACTTGATTTATGTATTTTTGTAATCTCATGTTCAATTATATATATTTAAAATTGTTGCATCTTCCTATGAAATTGATTTACCTATCAATATTTAATGACTTTGCAGAGTTTTTAAACTTAAATTCTATTTTATTTTATAGGTTTGCTTGGTTTTGGTTTTAATTTGCACAATGTATCTTTTTCTAAATCTTAGCTTTTAGTCTACATTAACCTTTGGTGGTGGGTGAATTCAGCTGCAGGCCTTTGCTATAAGACACAGGGGACTGGGAGGAGAGCAAACTCTCCATGTCAGGTATCTCCCATTAGAGGCAGAGAAACCTCTCTGCTGTGCACAATAAATCAATGTATGCCTCAAGGCAGGAGATTTGATAACACTCCACATTGTCTAAGACACATACTGTAAAAATATTAATGCCCTAAAATTACATAACTCTTAAAATCTAGGAAAACTTTTTAATTCCATTTTCTTCTAGAGCAGAATCACATGCATTAGTGATTCAGACAAAAAAGCGCAAGATTTTATTTCTTATTCGTCCCAGAATTATTATCCTTTGATTTTTAATGCACACCCATTTTTTCTTGTATGAAAGGACAGTTTGAAGCAGCATTGCTGCTGTGGGCGTAACTCCGCAGAGTTAATATGGCCTTCTTTAACTTAATGCTTAAGCTGAAGGTGTCTGCTTTGCACCTCCAGGGTACTCGGAAGGGTCTACTCCTCAGTAGAACATCCTGTTTCCCTTCTAGCAGTTGGCCAGAAAAATCCCTAGATCTGTGAGTGTTCCTGCTGCTAGACTGAAATGCCATTTCCTAAACTACAGCTCTTCTGCTAAACAATTTTTCTAGGAATGGTGCCATATCTCTAGCTACTTAGCTTTGCCAAATGGCATTACTCCTTCAATGGCCCTCGCTCTGGGACTGATACCAAATGATGGTTCAAGCTAGGGTGGGTAGTAAATCAGCAGTAAAAGCTGAAAAATGTGGCAGCTTTTCATACCTTTTTATCTTTTTTCCAGACGATTGGCCTATCTCTCTCACCTTCTGCTTCTATTCATGAAAGAAACCTTCATTCCCCTTCATTTGTAGTTTAATGGTAGTGTATTCACTTGACGCCCCCTTCACCCTCCTCAGTTGTGAAAGAACATTCACACCTTTTGAAACTAATGCAATCAGATTTCTTAAGACTGTAGTCTTTCTCCAGCACCTATCTGCAACTGTGCCTTGCCTGCTAGAAGTGGATGGTGTGATGTGTGGGAAATGGGCCTGAACGAAGCGTCAGACTGTAGCACAGGAGCCAGGAAAGCACTTCAAAGCAATGGGCAGAAGGCATCTCAAAAACATCCAGTCTGACTGAAGGCTGCCTTCTGGTTTCAGACTTCCTGGAAGCTGAGGCAGAGAAGCTGTGAGTTGCTTTGTCCAGGAAAGCCCGACTGCATGGCCTGTGTTTAATGATGTATAAAACTATGAGTCCATCCCTGGTGATCATAGCTACATGGTGTTGCTTGGATGTGGAAGTTAAAGTCATCAGTCTGTGCTCTGTGTGCTTCTGAGAAAACATTGTCTTTCTTAGTTCATCAGTGGCCTGGCTTTGCTTTCTTGCTCCTTTCCTTCTTTGTTGGTCCTTGCCTTTTTTTCTTTCCCTACCTTGTCTTTTTCAACCTCATTCTTTTCCTTAAAACTGGATTGCCTAGAGTTTACATTTATGCTGACTTAATTACCATTCCTCGTAAACCAGAGGCAGCTATTATTTCCACATTTACATTCAGTGGCAGAAGCAGAGAGGTACGCATATTAAGAAAATCCCTTATTTAAGAACTGACACTTCATTTTCAGTCAGTGCTATCAGGAATTGATATTATATAATGTGCATCTGGGTATTTGATTTAAAAATAAGGGAGTTCTTCTATACATTGAGTTTCTAAGTGTACCCTAAAACTTAAAGAAAGCAGTGACTGATAAATAGAAGATACTCCCTCTATTGCTTTATATATATGCATATATATATATATATATTTCTAATTTATATATCCATGTTTCTAATGAACTGCAGTCACATGAGTGAATCTCAAAGAAAGAAAGAGCTGTGTATTCAAGAGTATGCCCTAATCTGGTCAACATGCAGCTCTCATCTCTGCATTGACTTCTCCCAATGAGGTAGTAAACTCTTGAAGCCACCTTGATTTTGTGGCTCCCTTGGTTCCTTGGTCTTAGAAGTTGTTTCCTACAGGCACAGCATTTTCCTTGCTGGAATTGCATTTCATTTTCCTTGTTTCTACTTCACAAAACATGTCACATGAATAATGATGCCACAGGCAAGGAAATCAGTCCAGCAATACAATTTAAACTTAAGATAAATCCTGCCTTCACTTGTATTTGCAGTTTGCCAAGGCAGACAGTAGGAACACTGCCCACACAGGAACTGACAGAATTGAGCCTCCCAGGTTAGTAATTATTAATATGTAAAAATCCCTTTACTCATTTTCAATATATTGTATTCAGCTGCTTCTGAGGCAGAGTCCTGAGTTGCCTTCCCTGTTTCTGTTCCCTGTCCGCATCCAGATCTGAGGGTAGCACCCAGCTCTAAATATCCTCATTGTTTAAAGCCCTACATGAGAACAGAATGAGACTGTAAGGTCAGTCTCACAGCCTTAGTAGAGTGAAATTAGAAGTCAAAAATTCTGTGAACATCAAAGAGAACTAAGCTGAAACAGGATTTTAAAAGTGCTGTTGTGTGAACATTTTGGAAAATGTTCTCAAAGGTGGGGAAGAAAATTAAAGGAAATTAAAATCTGCCAGTTACAGTAAAATCCCTGGAACTTTTTCAAATCTGGGACCCTAAGATAAATGTCTGTTTGTTAATAGAACTGACAAGGCATCAGGAATGGCTTTTTGTATGGGAAAGAAGTCCACTTGTCTTTCTTCTATGTTAGAGAATTAATAGAGTAAGTGGGAAACACAGTGTGGAACAATGTGAAATATGGACTCTTAAGTAGGCAAGGGAAATTTAAAAACATGTAGTAGTGGGAAGTCTCTAAATCTCAGTATGCAGAGATTTGACAGCTTGTGGTAGCAGGATGAGTTGTAAATTTAATAGCAAGCCCCATCACGCCTCTAAATGAGGAAGGAAAGCCAGGAGAAAATTCGTTATAAGCGCATGGCACCACACCCCTCCGACATGTAGCAGTGGAGGAAAACCAGACTGGCAACCCGTGTTCCGAATACGAACTGAGTGAAACCTTCAAGAGGGGCGGGGGAGGGGTTTCTTTTAAATGTCGCCTTTGCAGATAAAGGGGTCCCCTCCTAGCTCTTAGGATTTAGAGATGCAAAAAATGACAGTTTGGCTTCACCGCTTGATTTTCAAGGGGAAAAAAAAGTCTTAAAGGTGTAACTCTCTTGGTCCTGAGGGAATGTGCAAAGGGAGGGAAAAAAAGCAGCGTGAGTGGGGGTGGCAGAGGAGAGCACAGGCATCGAGGAGGAGGAGGAGAGGCGTGAGCCAGTCTCCGGCAGGAGGGCGTGGATCCCGGCGCCAGCCAGAGCAGGTCCAGCCTTCTCGCGACCAGTGCCAACAGCGGGAGGGGACAGCCAGGATCTACGTGGGCAGAGCCGGGTGCGGACCAGCGGGTGTAGCTCGGCGAGCAACTCCTGGATCAGCTCAGAGCCACTGGCCCCTGCGCGCCCTCTGCCCACTTCAAGCCAGCTTGGAAGGAAGTTTCCCAGAGGGAAAGGACGGGAGGCGACTCAGGTGTGTCAATTTGCGCGTCTTTTGATAACCTCGGACGTTCTGCCATTTCGCCCGGGAGACAACTCTTGGGGTGCGATGGAGGACGAATGAAAGGATTTCTCCTGGAAGTAAATGTTCAAACCACTATGGTAGGAAATGCTGCGCAATCGCGGTCCCCATCCTTTCCCTAAATGGCAGCTAACCCAGGTCCCTGAGCCCCCAACCTGGGAAGAGACATCTCCTTTCTTAGCTCACCTAGAGTAGCTAAGGCTAGATTCAGAAGCTCTCGGTGAGCGCTGCCCAGTAAATAAGGTCACCGGTGGGAAGACCTCGGTCCTTCCTTGCGCCTCCCCACCTCTACCCGTAGGTTCCCTCTAGAGCCCATTCCTATCTGCTCTTGGGAGATTCCAGCCTGCTCTTGGGGTTCAGCACAGTTCGCAGCAATTTTTTGGCCGCTGTCTCACCTGCCCATCTTTTAAGTTACGAAGGTTTGGATCCCTTCCCCAGCCCGCACCCCCAAACCCTATCTTGTTTTTATTCTCAGGAGAAGATTCCAGATCCCAGTGGAGTTCTAAAAACACTGCCAGTCTAGAATGGGGTTCTCTGAACATAGGTGTGTGTGTGTGTGTGTGTGTGTGTGTGTGTGTGTGTGTGTGTGTTTGTGTACTGGGCGCGTAGATGCTCCACCTCTGGGGACCACCATGGGGCGAGAGGGCAGCTGGCCCTGGTTACCATGGTGCCATAGTAGCCTAGTGCTGGGAGCTAGAGATGCCAGTCACGGATGGTCCCTTTTCCCTCTTTGTTTCTCTCTCTCTCTCTCTCTCTCTCTCTCTCTCTCTCTCTCTCTCTCTCTCTCTCCCTCCCTCCCTCCCTCC